CAAAATCTGCTGGGAGCAAATGTCAATTTCACGTCTTGTGCTGTATACTGCAGGGAGTTGGACATCGACACTGGACATTACGGAAATAAGACATGCAATGGAATAACTTAAGAATAGCGCGGTAACCGAGAATGTGAACTTAAACACCTAAAACTCATGGCCAAGCAGGCAAGAACACTATGAGAAAGGTCGAAAACACGAGCACATAGCGGCATTTGCTCCAGCAAACACCTCCAGCGCCCCCACAGCCACCTCTCGGAAGATTGAAGCACTACAAGTGAGTCAACCCGCCAAGCACAGGGGTTATTTTGAAACGGCCAGTCTGGTAGCACATCTACGTCATACAAACGTTCCATGACGCAATAAAACAATGACGTATTGAGGATAATCTTTACTAAACGGCGAAATTTCGCTGTCTAGAGCGGTCTTTTCCATCTAAAAGCATACCAATAGTTTTAAATGAGCTTGTCATCACACCTGCTGCTCGCTTCTATATCTTCCAATATGAAACATTCTCTTTCAGAGGAGTGTGCTAGCTTTAGGGTCTATTTCTAAAACATATTCTGGTGAAATCTCACGACCATTTAGCTTAATAAAAACTCTCGGTTGCACCAATGTAGCACAATTAAGATATGGTAAGGGTGTAAATTGGCGTTATTTTCGAGTCGAAGTTATGCCGTCAAGGGCTTTGCAACAGCACTCCACTTCACCCAGGGGAAGAAGTGTAGTGCTGAAGTGAAGCTGTCCAAAGTCCACGACAACTGTAGCTGGCGCGATCACTATCGTTATGACGACGGCAGGATCTGCTGAAGGCCGTGGCCAGCTGTTGCGGGTTAGAGTTACCACTTTGGGGCTGTTTTAGTCCGCACATTGCGGGCCTGCGGACTTAAGTCCAGTAGACAGGTGCCCGTTCCAGCGATCCTGCCGCGTCAACGGCAACTGCGGCCGCCCGAGCGACATCTGCGGTCGTCGGCGCGGCAGCGACCGCCGCCTACCGCCGGCAAGTGACGTATGCGGTAGACGGGATGACGCAGGAACGCATTTGTTCAATCAGAAAACGCGCTGGTGTCACCGGCGCGGTTAGGTGGAGCGATATGCGCTTAACCATATCACTATCCTTCGTCGTAATGTTGTGCTATAAGTGGCAGCGTTGTAATGAACTGCATTTACGAACCTGCGTTGAACGAGTCTTATAAGGGCTATTGCAGCGGGACGAGGCCAATACCTCAACGAGTACGGTCACCGATAGGTGACGCTACTGCTGTGTGAGAATCACGCTGGCGTCTTTCGTTTATTCGCCCCGCTGTTGTAAACGATGAACGTTTACTGATCTGGGAATTGTTTGTCCGCTGCTGACATATTGGCAGCCAGAACTAGGCAGATGGTTGCTGTTGTCAAGTGTTCCTCATTCTTCATGGTCCATCCCTCTCTGAACGCGTCTCCCTTTCTGTCATTTCGGGCCTTGGTACCGACACCGATGTTTAACAACGGACCAGCAAATTCACCGTAGGAGTTTTAGTCGCGGCTGCTCAGGCGCAACCGGCACGTTGATGGCACGGGCCCTGAGGTACAGGCACTCACGCCTGTGTTGCACTGAACGGGGCTTTGGATATCATCTGGAGAAGACAACAGGCAACTACCGCCACCTATCTTCGACGTCGCAGAAGAGAGCGAAAAGCGCGGCACTATGGCGAGGATTGGGAGCGTGAAGTTTTTCGTTTCGTAGTGACTCGGTTGGTGTATAGCTCATGCTGCAACCTTGAGCCTCTGTTGCCGTGGTCCCGGTCCTTGGCCCGCGAGGAGCAAAGAGCACACTGGATGCTCGGGCGAGTGTTCGTGCCGGACTGTAGCGTGGAGCGTCAGGCTGTCGCGTGGGTCATCGGACTGGTGCATGAGTCGTGTCTGCATATACAATTTGGACCTCCCAACATTTCAACCGGAGCAGGTAAGTTCATCCCCTCGGCAACAATCAAGTGTCCGCGTCAGGGGCGTACTTCCATCATGCTTCCTGGGATATGTACCCACCCTTCACCATATGTATCACTGTATTAACGTGCGCGTGAATGAATGTTCACTTAAAAATTCATGAGACACAAAAAATGAGATTAAGATAATGCCACGTCTCACGTCAAGTCACAATTTTCGTGAAAAAAATCACTTTCAGCGAATAGGCTTTAGTTGTGCCCTCCTTTCCCTTCGACATGCTTCACACGTCCCTCCCCCGCCCGTGGTCCGCCCAATACTCTGCAGCAATCACGTGCAGTTTCGTTGGTAATGCAATACCAATGACAGCCACTGACATCTAAAATCCGTTTCGACTCTGGCCAGTGGCAGAGCCAGGGAGGAAGGTGGAGAAATCGGTCACATGGGGCCGCTCAGTCGGGCAGCCTCCTCTTCATTGCTCCGTCGTGCGCTTTTTTATTCAGAGTAGTTTTCAGGATCGGAATGCTATTCTTATGTCACCAGACCCGCTTCTAAGTCTTAGAAGGCCTTCAGAACACCCTTCGGACGTCCCAAACTGTCAAAAAAAAAAATGCTGAGCCTTCTGCCCGCAAGGGGCTTATGCCACTTCCAACGGGCGTGGCCCCAGAAGTACCCCTTAACCAGAGGCTCAGGCTGAGGTCAGCCAACTAAACGTCTCTCAAGTCCAGATTCGTCTTGGGGTGAAACCACGGAGGCGCGCGTTGAGAGCAGGATGATTATGCAACTCGAGTCTGAACAACGCAAACTTTTCATTTCTCTCAAGTCAATATTCTTCTCACGGCAACGTTTTTTTTGTTTGTTTTTTTGTAACATGCGCACTCCCCCTCCCCCCTCCCCACACACCATCCCGACGGCGGCGGCACGCACCTACCCACCCTCCCCTCTCCCGGAGCGCGTCGTAACGCGACAAGCCGTTGCTATGGAAACCAGCCGTTGGCGAATGACGTGTGACGTAGCTAGCCAAACGTGTGACGTCAGCAATCGCAGCGGCACGCTGGGCGGCTGTCGTCGCGCGCCGGCGGCCGTCGCGGTAACGCGAGACGTCGCCTTGGGAAACTGGGCTGTAAGGTTGCGCTCCACATTTGTATCGGGTTTTGAACTGAAATGTCCGTCTTGACGATCATTGCAGTGCACTTCACAGCCCTGCCCTTCTAAGGACATGAAACCTAGTTTCTGAGCTAAACGTCCGCGAAGACGTGTAGACTATTTCGGGGAGACTATTCCAAGGTTACCCAGGCATCCACGACACCATAATGACGTTAGTCAAATCATGCCATGCCACTGGCTATGCGGCGATCAAAGCCAACAAAAATACGTTTGTCGAGTCGCTCCGATCTGGCATTCATGAGCATGATTTCCAGATAAAACGGCCGTCAATTTGCTCTAAAAAAATGTTGTGCAAGGTAAAACGACGTGGCCAAGCAATGACGTATTGAGGAGCACGTTTGCTAAGCGGAGAAATTGCGTTGCCTACAACAGCCTTTTCACTTAAAAGTATAACAATAGTTACAAGTGAGTTTATTTCATTGTATCTGATGTTTGCTTCAATATCTTCAAATGTCGAACATTCCTTTAAAAGTAATCCGTCGACTAGTATAAAGGACACCAGCACAATGAATGCTTGTGATTGGCACAGCAGGAGACAGGGGCCAGTTGCACAGAAGCGCACTGGTTGAAGTTTGAGCTAGTGCGCCACTATGCACCATGCGATAATCCGTTTCCCAAAGCCACAGTACGCCTAGAAAAGAGCCACCGTGGTAAGCGCCATAGGGGAGAATAAAAGCCAAAGGATAACCATTCGCTGAAATCGCGGGATAATAACAGGGTTCGGGCTTTCGTAACGGTTATTAAACAAACATTTTGGCAAATTGTGTCGCAAATATTACAGAACTCACAGGCTGGAGAAATCAGGCAAATGAAATATATTACTTGCATAATGGTGAGCAGGGAATCCAAGAGATTTCCTCCGTAGGAGCGGCTAGTGGAAATTCTGAGCTTTTCATGATTTCGAGAAAACTGGTATTGCCGCTCAAATCGGATGCGTCTGATGCAGCGATAAGAGAAAAGCACAAAAAATGAACTATGAACCTTAATACGAGCTATCGGAACTAATTCAGTAGGTCAAGTCATTGATGAGAGAGAGCGGGAATCCGCGGGATTTCTGACGGTGGAAATCACACTTCACACGGAGGTTGGTGTGAAGGGGCAGAATGAATGGCGGAAACAAAATTTACCCCTGTGCTTTGCTAAGTGTATCAACATGAAAAGAAAGGGCCCATGTGACCTTTATGTTCACATTCTACTGTGAGCCTAGCACTATGTTTGAAAGTTAAGAAATAGTACAAGAGAAATATTGGTGCTATTGGTCTACAAAGTTAGTGCTGTGGTAAGCAAGAAAGCATGAATATTGCTGGTAGGGCTGGTAGAATATACTCCAAGCCTGATTTGACAGAAAAATATCCAGGGCACCAAATCTACATGTGTAAGAACTCCTTACAGCCTTGAGGATTTGACTTCTTTCACTTTTATACTTTCCTTATCCTTGCAGTGCAGCAATAAGTCTCCCCAAAATGGGAAAAATTAAGATCATTCAGCAAAAGCCATAACCCAGAAAAACTAGGCTGCATTTATCATAGGGAAAAAGCATAAAAATGGAGCAAAAAAGTTGAAGCTGACATGGCTGCTGACTAGAGAAGCAACTTGGTATAGCATGACATTTCACACACAAAGATGCAATAAAGTGGGAGTCCTGGGGTCCCATGGCTTCCCATTTGGGAACCTCGCATAGGCTTATTGGAATCTGGATTATGATGCATGTACATTAACGGTATTGCTGTACCATGGGTTCTAGCTCCACACCTTTGAATGCATGGTCATCAATGCAAACATATTGACAGTGATAATCAGCATGCACATTGGCACAGAGCCAATATGTGCTGATACTGCCCCATTATGTATGGGGACAGTTCCATGTACTATTAAAGGTATCTTGAATAGCACACTTAAATTGACCTGACCTTGACATACATGTTGGGAATGTTCCCTAACAGGTTAAGTCCACCAAAAATGCCACCACCAGCATTCATCTGCGACCAGCTCAGTTATGGCAATTGAATTTGAGTCTGAAATTGGGCTTTCCTTCTTGGGATGCATGGAACATGAAAAAAATCTTGCCACCGAACGAATTGATGAGGATGTTTTAATTTTTCGGTGATAACTTGTAAAGATAACGTACACTAGAGAATAAAAACAAGTCGAGAAAGTCATGGATAAAGCATGGTGAGTTCACCAAACACCGTAACAGCAACAAACCATACCTGTTTCGGAACATCCAGACTACAATCATCCATGGTAACGGCAAGCGAGTCTTCCCCAGGCTCCACCAAGGTCGTCAAGCCAACGTTTTGTGATAGTGCTCACAGTAGCTTACATTTGCACCATCAGCTAGCACCCACAGCATTTGTATCACGACCAGCTATCAACTGCGCTCACTGTCCGACCACCAACCGCACGCCCGACCAGGCCACCCTGGGGCTGGCCCCTGTCATCGACAAGGCTGCTGCCGGGTCACGTTTTCCAAGCGGGCGACATGTGAGTTTTTGTAGTCATGTTCGTCGTAAGCAAAATTAAAAATGAAAAGCTCTCTATTTTGTAGTTGAAACAGCTATGTGTATTTCCAACAAAATTTTCTCATTCGATTATAATTTTCAAAGAAAAAAATATGAGTCCCATATTGAGGAGCCTCACGATTTTTAGATATTGTGAAATGAACGACGAACGCTTCACAACACCGTTGTAATGCATCTAAATCCCAGTAATCTCCTCCGCGGACAAAATGAATTGGTCATCCAGAATGTCCACTTCCATCACCAAAATACCAACGCTGATCACGAGATGAATAAATGAGCTGAAAAGACCGATTTAGCACCAGAAAGGCCGTACCACACCAATGGTGCCCACCGCGATCTGGTATAGTAAACCTCCCAGACATCATGGTCAGGGCGTCCGATTACACGTGGAAGGTTATGAACAATCAACAAAATGGTTTAAACCGTAACAAAAGAAAAGCTTTTTGCCCTTCGTAGCTGGATTTTTGTCAGCTCCTGGCGATCCCAACCCACCCGTGGCGGTTTGTGGGCTCAAGTCGCCATGTACGCACTCGCAGGGGCACAGTCAGGATAATCAGAGACGAAGGGGGAGCGCAACCAAGCGAGATTTCATCACGTAGAGCTACTGGTGGAGTCGGGGAGGATCTCTGCATGCTCGATCTTGGCTGCGCCAATGCCTGCTCGCTATTTGACCTCTGATTTGGATGGTCTGCGGCCGGCGGCAGCATACCGCAGACCGCTGTCCAATGTCATGGAGGTCCAAGGGCGGGGGAATGTGTGGAGCGTTAGAGTACACTCAACTTTTTCCATTAAGTTTCGCCACAGAATTACAGTTTTACAAAAGGAAGGTAGAATTCTGGAGCACATACAACGATCTTGGTGAGATGTGACTTTGTGGGTGGAAATCTATACGAAAACGTTGAAGGGCATGGCAAGAGTAAGTCCGTTTTTTAATTCCATGAATCTCTGAATTGGGCACATTTGAATGCCAACACTGAGGTAGTCCGTCTTCTATGGAAATATTAGGCATGCATCATATTTTGGTTTGCCAGAGATTGGGATGAGGGCAAAGAACCAGCAAAATGCTTCAGGACAACTACCCTGTATAATATTATATCGTCTTATGGGATGGTTCACGCTTGCACGCCCAAGCGCGATTTAACCACCCTAAATCCTACAGCACTCAAAGCATGCATGCTTAATGCCGTTAGCTCAACACAGAAGCCTTGAACCCATAATGATCAAAATGATAATGTATACACAAAATGCAGCACAATATAAGGGATTGCTTGGTACATATGCAAGGGTACAGATTACGCCCCTGGTCAGGAAGTGCACCTGGTAAGATTGTCATGGGGTGTCGCTGTTGACGGCACGTTCCTTGCAGGTGGCCCTATAGTGTCGGCTTACTGACTGACCAGAGAGGAGGAGCGGCACGAGCACTAATGTGACCGACATTGCTGGTCGTGACGCAGTATTTGCACTGCGCCAGTTGCGTTCAGTTGACATGCATCCGAATATGGATTTTATCTGCCTACCGGACTACATCAAGAATCTTGAGCATGGTGGTAGCAAGGCACGGTAGCTGCGAGCGATCAACCCGTGTCGTGCGTCGGCTCCCTCCGTACCAGCATCACTCTCCAGAGCAGGACAACTCTCTAGACATTCCACGTCTGCCGTGAGGCTCTGGGTATGTTCTTTTCCTGGTACGCATCCAAGAGTATAGATATCCTGCCTCATCATTACCCTCAACCTTGTCCGCCATATTCCAAGGTAGAACAGACAAGTGAAGCAATAACTTACAGCAAACCTGCTGTTGGCACCTGTGGCCGAGCAAACGTCTCTTCGCGACAAATCAGGAATGAAAAGAGGACATTGTGGAAGAGTTCGCTGATGGGTTCTCCGCAGGTGGTTTTCCTCCAGCAATGGCTGGCGTATCCATGCAGATCCATCTGAAGCAGCAAGTACAAACCTTTGCTGTCAGGGCCGCAAGAAGGATCCATTTTGCTTGGAGACCACAAATTAGGAAGGATATTGGTAGTTTGGTTCAGAGGGACATAATCGAAGCGGTTAGTGGCAAGCCATTAGAATGGTGCCAGCCACTGGTGGTCGTTCCCAAGGCGTCGGGAGATCCTCGTGTCTACGTCGACCTCTCCAAGCTGAACTCCTTCGTCAAGCGATCACTGCACCCTCTCGTCACACCGAAGGGGACGGTGTCAGCAATACCTGCAGAGCGCCGCTGTTTCACGTCTGTGGACGCGGCGTCGGGTTACCGACGACTCCCATTGGACGCAGACCGCCGGTATCTCACCACTTTCATCACGCCGTGGGGTCGCTTTCGTTTCCTCAGGGCACCCGTGGGCCTCATTTCAACCAAAGGCGAGGTCTGCCGCAGGGGAGACATCGCTATCGAAGGTCTCAACAACATCGTCAAGGTGGCTGTCGACGTGCTGGTCTTCGACGAGAACTTTGAAGTCCACATTCAGCGGTTCCGAGTCCTTCTGCAGCGCTGCCGGGAGTAGAAGAGCATCTTGAAGAGGGAGAAATTCGTCTTCGCAGAAGCAGAAGTAGACTACTGCGGATATCAAGTATTCCATCGAGGCGCGAAAGCAAACCCGCCCAAGATGAGAGTTATCGCTGGTTTCCCGCACTCTCCAACATCACCGTATTGCGTTGATTCACGGGAATGGCTCAGCAGCTGACGAATTTCAGCTCTGACATCGCGTACACGCGATGCATGTGCGGCATGTGGCAGGCACGCTGTTCTCCGGTGACGAAGAGGCGCCAGAGCATCTCAAGAGCCTTCGATTTGAGGACCTCACCACAATGCCATCTAGCGACGCGGCATACCGAGGGCTGCTCTGTCACGGCCAGAAAGTCTGGCCGTCATCCAAACAGCTTCTGGACGTCGATCTGCAGCCATATTAAACGATCCGAGGAGACTTCTCTGCTGTGGACAGCCTCGCGCTGGAAAGCCCCATGATCGTCATACTGCTTGCTGCTAGACCCCAAATTCTTGGCAGCCTCCACGCGGCTTATCAGGGGACTAGGCGTATGAAGAGACGCGTCAGACAGCAGGTTGTCTGGTGGTCTAGATTCAAAAATCAAGAAACTGATGGACAGCTGTGAGGTCTGCCAGCTGCGCCGCCCGAACCAATGACTGCCTCTCCACCATCTTGCATCTTTGAGAAAGTTTCGGCAGACCTGTTCTTCCATGCTGATCATCATTTCCTAGTCTACATGGACAGAGCCTCGGATGGCCTGTCAGTTTTGCATTCCCCAGAGGAGACACTCGAGCCGGCCGGCTGATCCAGGTCATCAGAGAGGCATTCGCCGATCTCGGCATTCCAAACCGCTTCCGCTCCGATTGAGGTCCTCGGTTCTCCAGATGCGACGCCAAGAGATTCTTCAGACGTTGAGTAGTGAGGCTGGAACAATCAACGCCCCGACACGCACAGTCACATGGGCACGCTGGAGTCCTGGCCGTCAACGCGCTCATCCAGACGACGTGCCATGGCGGAGAACTCAACACCGATGCTTATTATGAAGGCCTTCTGGAACTTCGGAACACGCCCGGGCTGATGGTCGCTCCCAGCTCAGGTCGTTTACGACCATCCCTTCTGTTCCCATGTTCCTGCCGGTCGCCGCTTATTCTCTCATGAGTGGCAGCGCAGCTGACTGCGGCTCCGAAGCAGCAGCACTGAAGAGCACAGGTTTTAACCACTACTGCTGGACCGCCAAAACTCTGCCACCTCTGAGGGTCGGTACAGAGGCTCGCATGCAAGATCTCCGCAACAAGCTGTGGGATGCGTGGGAACCGCCATCGGCGATAGTCGCAGACGTGACTACTACATCAAGTCGCCCAGCGATAAAGTTCTCTGGGTGGAGAAATTGTTGTTTTCTTCTCCTGACTCTGCAGGGCCCTGATGAAGCTCAGGAGCGGTCGACCCCTTCACCTTGCCGACCTGCCCCCGGGGGCGGCGTCAGACGCAGTCAACTTGGCGGGCGGCGACCAGACCGTCTCCAGCTGTGACGACGTCATCGATTCGGTCGCCGCGGAGGGGGATGTGGCGTGTTCCTGCCCGGCTGGCCCGCCGGGACGTCCCGGCAGCCGCCGGATCGCCGCCTGGCGCCATGCGGCCCGTTGCCCGAGCCGTCGGTCAACCGACCGTGTGAAGGGCATCAGGGCCCTGTAAAACGCTGCTATTGGCTAGCGAACGGTGAGCGAGGTTATGTTGCGTGTGTGTGTCTAACTGTAAGGGTACAGTCGTCTTCATCAACTCTGTGAGATTGTGCCTCTGATCGACTGCTGTCTCCCGAGAGCACAGCAGTGAACTTCACGCGTTGGGTAAAGCCATGGATACTCACATGCAATGGGTAACAGCAGGGAGGCAGCCAGCGTTTTCTCAATTGCAGACCCT